GCTCATATATATATATATATATGCACGCCTATATACCTCTATATACCCTTATATACCTGTATATATCCTTATATGCCCATATATACCCCTGTATAACCTAGAAAACGCCACAAAACCTCATATTTCCCTATATATCCCTATGTATCCCTATATCAATATCCCTCCTTATCCCTATCCATCCGTATGTAACCCGATATGACCCTACCTCATCCTATATCATTCTATATATCCCTATATACCCACATATTTTTCCTAGATATCCCTATATACCCCTTCATAACCCAATATAACCCTATAGACCACTTTCTATCCCCACATCCCCCTATAATATATGCGTATCTACCCCTAAATAACCCTGTATAACCCTATGTAACCCTGTATATCCCTACATATCCTTCTATGTACATATATATATATATGGTAGTTTCCCAAAATAAGGGGACCCCAATATAGACCCCAATAGATTATAATCCTTATTTCAGGGACCCCCAAAAAGGTACCCCAAATTTTAGGAAACCCCCATATATCCCTTTGTATCCGTGTAATACCGGTTTGGGGCCGTGCCTCGCTAAATCCGGCGAGCCCGCTGCGATCAGGGCCGGCAAGTCAGCCTGGGTCTAGGGTTTAGGGTTTAGGGAGATTTGCAGAGGCAATTGCCTGCTGCGTGATCTGACTGGTGGTTCGTAGGGATCATGTAGGGAATAAGAATAAGGGGGATGTAGGGGTAATATAGGGCTAGGGACTACATAAGGGTAATACAGAGGTAACATAGGGAATAAAGGGGTATACTAGTTCGGGCTAGGGTTGATATAATGATTATATTCCCTTATTCCCTACTAACCACCACTCTAAATGATTCTTCAACTGCGGGCAGGACCAATGCCGTTGATATTCGGGCAGCCGCGACGGCCTCAGAACCCCTGACACTACATGACCTGTAAGTTTCACAGAAAACCTTGAGATGCAGATCAGCCGATAGATTCAGAAACGGTCACACAATTGAGACAAAGCTAATTCCATAACAAAAGCTATGTACACTCGCCATTGCTGTCAAAGGCATATCAACTAAATTTGTGCTCACATCGCCTCTTAGCTGCCGCTGCCGCAAAACAGTATTAGAACCACATGAGGCCGCCAGGGCAAACGCTGCCGGCTCTGGAGCGGCCCCTGGTTTGCCATAGCCCTTCCAGGCTGATACGTCACGAAGCGTAGGATGGCAGCTGACACTGAGAATGATCTAGTGCAAAACTTGCACGGTTGTTCAGACCCTCCGCTCCTCTTCGCTGAGAGGTGTCGCAGGAGTCTTCATTGGCCCCAACCTACGCTGCAGACCGGATGCTCTGCATTCAGCCGAGCAAAGCACTTCCCTACCCCTCTCAACACAACTAATGAGTGCCCTGCAGCATCTCATACGCACTTTGCAGAAAAGCTGGATGCCTGGACGGCACAGACGCGCTTGCTGCGCAAAACCACACTAGGCATAAGGCATCATGAGGCAAGAGCTGTACGAGCAGCAGGTCTGAGCAGGAGTCATTCGGAACATTCAATGGGCTCAATGGAGCCAATCCACCTCAATGTCCAAACCAAGTGACCAAGACTTGGACTATGCCCCTGGTGTGCCGTTTGCGTAACAACCTGAGACTGGTACACAATGGGTGGCAATCCTCTTCATCATCACTGTCCGCATCCGGCACAGGTTGATAGGCTTTACATCCAGTGTCCTGTAAAATGCAGGAGCAAAGCTTGCCCAAATGACTGCTAATTTGTCCTCCTCATCTGTTGCAATGGCATTGATTGCAGCGCTCGAAAGCATTTTGGCAGCTCCTGCACAAAGCATGGATCTGCCACCCAAGACCGTGACAAATGCAACTGCCAACAAGACCGCATACCTTCAACGGTGGGAATTTCTGTACGCATCTCTGCCATAGGTTGTGCAGTTACCTGGCCAACCGCTGTTCCAGCAGTGATAACGAACTGCTATTACAGTGGCAAAACTGCAAGCAAACAACTGTCAGTGATTCGTTGATCAACAGCCTCGAAATCTTTGCTGGCAAGCTGGAAATCTGAAACCTGGGTACGTCGTGCAAAATGGCAATCGCCTAATTCTTACAAGGAAACTCAGTCTGCAGATACCTTCACTTGCCAATTTGTTTGGACAGTCATGTGCTGCAAGAAAACCACATTAAATGCAAGCAAGGATCTGCTGGGTCCGTCCTATTCCGTGCAAGCAATGCAAACTTTTGGAGTTTAGGAGGTGATGGCGGAACAAAGCATAGATATGGACAATCTTTTGCGGACTATTGCTAGCTACTCGCAGATGAACTCCACTGCATGTCGTGCGAGCCATGCGCCTGTCGAAGTTGTCAAAGCGAAGCTGCGGCCGAGAGCTATCATCTCCAAAGCCCCAGTGTTCGGCCAAAAGCTCTGCCACGGCCATGGCACAAAGCCGTCGTTCATGTGTCTGCGCGGACAACCTCAAGTGAATTCCTCGCAACAACAGACTTGAGAGCTGTTCGGGTCTCTGATCTTGGTTCGGGAGTCGTATGCGCACTGCCCGTGCAAGTCGCAGCCCCAAATTCCGCTCAGCAGCTAGGTCCGAGGACTGAAAAAAGGACGGTTCCGCCCACGTCTGTAGCCAGTGCGAATAAGCAAACAACCAGCATTCTGGCCCAGCTGTGCTCATCACATCCACCAAGACAAACAGCATTGGTGATGATAACTCAATGCCATGGCGTGTTTGCCAGAGCTGTACGGCAAGCAGCTGCTGAATGGGTCTGCTGGTTTCCAATGATGGATGCAATAAAGCTGCAAAACGGGCAACACAATCTGGCTTTTGCATAACAAGGTTCGCGGCTGACCTGTGGAAAAAGGACCCGGCCGCACGCAGTATTGCACAAACCAACGCACGACCGGCGGATGGATTTTGATCTGCAAGTTTCGAAATTGACCTCCCAAGTACAGCAGCAAGATCCACAGAGTCCAATGCCGCACGGCAAAATACAAAAGCCAGTTCTGCTGAATTACCCCTGAGGGAAATTCGCGCCAATAATTCCCAACACCATGGATTTTTTGCCAAGCTTTCCACGGCATCTGGATCCTGGCAAATGGCAAGCTGCTGAGCTTCAGCGAGTCGCCTGAAGTATGAGGAGTCCAGCCATGCCACAAAGTCCTTTGCCGCTGGTACCGCAAAAGCCTTTGCACATGCAGCTGCTAACCGATCCTGCAAGCCACACAGCCACCCAATGGTGGCCACGGCAATTTCTTGGGAGAACATGTCGCTCCGACGCACAAGTCCTGACACGACTGCTTCCAATGCTTGTCCGCTCAACCAACACTGTACGAAATGCAGGGCGAAAACAATATTTGCTGGCAAGGCATGTTCCGGAAGTTGTTGCAAAGCCAGCAAGGCGCCTCCCAAAACTAATGAGGCTGTCATCAGAAGCTGTTCACGCAGGTCTGCAGCCGATACGAAAAAGGCAGACAACGCATCCCGCAATCGAAGACTTCGTGCAGTTGCACCCTTCAGCACGTGCATGGTTGATCTTCGTGCAAACAAACCCGCCTGCTCGGCTGACTCATGGCGAAGCAAGTCTGCCGAGGAAGTATTCAAATGACCACAAAATATCTCTTCTAGGTCATCGCCTGCCTCAAGATCACTGAGCGTTGCGAGCATCTGACTCAAAGATTCCAAAGATGTCGCTTGAGCGTCAATGCCAGCCTTTTGAGATTGCTCCGGCGACACCATGGCAATAATGCGCGCCCATGCATTATTAGTCTTAGAGTTGGAGGAGCCGACTGGGATTAAAATGCAACGGCAAGCAAAGCACGGAAACAAGGTTGAGATCCAATTTTGTGCCCGTCCCGCCCCCCCCCTCCCAAATGGCCGCTCTTTCAAATGTTTGCTGCTGACCTCAAATTCCCCACAGAATCGAATCACACTCAGACGCTGTTCCATTCGACGCCCACACCCTGGGAGGGGCACAGCCGCGCACGACACACGACTAGTCTAAGGCCTGACTTGTCCGTGCACAAAATCGTAGCAGCTGAAACAACAACAAAATGTTGAAAGCGCTCACAGTTTTGCATGCGCATCGCATTCAGAAGAGAGAGCAGGCTTACGTGAACTTCAAAACCATTGCAAAAGTGCCTGCTTCAACAAATGCAAGGCCAGTATGCTAGCAATGTTGAACTGGGTCCGCGGTAGTACATATTACATATCCCTTAGTTGCATGAAATCCACTGGTCGCAAAGCATCCAGGGGTTGCCCGCACGCGGCACGGCATGGGGCTATGTTTGACATGTGGATTGTCCACCCATTAGCCTGTCAACTCAATGTGGGCAGCATGGATTCCAGCACCTCGGGATTGAAGCAAGTCGTCCGTGATTCCACACTCAAGGGATTGAAACCCACAATTTCAAGTCTGACGTTCGCAGGTCTAACACCCAAATCGCTTGTTAAACCAGCTGCAAATAATGTTCTGAAAGTATCACCTATGGTGAGGGCACAGCTTGAATTGATTGTCAATTCATTGTTGTCCTGTAGAGGCAGCGAACCAAACATGATGACATTTTTTGACCCGCCCTGCCCCGCTGTTGCCCCAGCCCACACAGACTAGCAGCCAACAAAATAACGCACTTTTCGCATCGCTTGCGTCTATAGAAAAGTGTCTTCCATGAGTAATGAAGCGTATGCCACGTCTGGGGAAGCGTGATGTGCACATGGGACGTCCTGTACATCGAGCTGCGTAGTGCTCAGAGGGCGCCCACACGTGGAGATGCAGGCCAGCACACGACTGTTCTGAGGTGGGGCAACCTGGGGCACACCCAAAGGCGCCAGCATCTCCAGAATCGTTGGCAAATAGCTGCACATCCCAACCACTGCTAGCATCACGATAGCCCCGTTCGGCACGCTGTCAACCCAAAAGTGTAGCGGAGACAGGGCATCTTCCGAAAGCTCCTCAGGCAAATGGAATTGCCGAGCGGCTGTGAATCCGGCCAGTTTCACGTAGAGTCCCTTCACATGGGAACCTTCGTCCTCAAACATCTCAGTTCGGGAGTCGCGCAGGCAAACGGATGCAGACTCCTCTGAAATGCTACACAGCACCGTCAACTTCACCGTTGGAAGCAACACATCTGCCTTGTCAGACTCAACAAACCATCCGCCCCTACCACCATGGCGTCGCCACGCGACATGCCGTAGTCGGGGCACTCGTGGTACCTGTGTCACTGGCGCTAACGGTGCCACTGGCCGTGCTGTTGCCACTGGCGTGCTGGGCAATGGCTCGTTGCAGGCCAAGGCCTGTAGATCCAGGTTAAACTCTGCCTGCAAGTCCTGCAAGGCATCAAACCACTCGCCCAGTGCCTGAGACAGCAAGTTCATGGCACCTTGCGAAGCTGCGGCTGGGATTTCCATCGGCTCTGGTTCTCGACCGTCCTTGAAGTGTCGGAAGAACTCTCCATCCTGATTGAGCTCTAAGCCCGCCATATCCCAGGAATTCCCACCGGCCTGCGCCTCAAACTTTTCTCTGTCACGCTTGACCCAGAGCCAGTAACCCATGAACTCTTCCGCAAATCGCTCTACATACTCAGCGTCGCGTGATCTTGCCGGCCAGAAGTCTTGCCATGCCTTGTCCAGTACCCTGTGCCAGGGCTTTGCTGTCGGCTTTCCCGAAAAATGGACAACTCGGATCTCCTCTGGAGTTTGCAATAGAACTGACCTCTCGGCGTAGTTGGCACGTTCCGGATGTAGTGCGAAAAACATCTGGTGAAGCTGGAAGTTGTACTCTACACCGATGTAAGTCCACGGCGCATCCGCCCAGAAACGGCTAAGGTAGTCCTGTTCTGGGCCATTTCCCTTGACATGCTCCGGGTGGTTTGGCTCCGTCAGCTCGTCCAGCATCTGGTCCAAAACAGCCTGGTCAGGTCGCCACAGCATCACGCCAGCATTGATCCCTGTGCCTTGACCCCAGGACCATCGAGGCATGGACTTGTCCGTGCCCAGAAAAAACCTACGGCCATCCACCATCTGACCATGCCCTAAGAAGACCTCATTCATGCCGCGTCTCAGTGCAGCAGGTGGGGTCAATTCGAACAGGTCGTCAATGTTTCTGCGCACTAGGAGGTCGATGTCCATCATCAGCACCTTCTCATACTCTGTCAGGGCCAAGCCGTTCAGTTTGGTGAACACTTTGGCAAAGCGATCTTCTTTATCAGGAAAGCTGAGTTGCTCCATAGCAACATCAATATGAGATATGGGCCTGCAGATCCAAAGCCTGGAAAGCAGCTGGATATGTGCATGTGGCACATCGCTTGTATACAAGCATACTCGGTCGTGCTTCGAACCCGTCCGCTTAATCGAGTAACCGAGCACCAAAGCTCCAAGAAGGTACTCTCGCGATGCACCCCACAAACAAATCAAGAAAGCATACTTTCCTCGAACTGCCGCAGGAGGGTCTGGCTCTGCGCTCTGAAGGCTGAGTTCGATTTTCATGGGTCGCTTGCAACAGGGACAAAAAGCACTCCACTCACCAAACCACCATGGATGCCCTTGCTTCACACATGCACCGCGCAACAACGAAGATATGCGAAGGCCAACTCTCTGCCAGAGCTGCAGAACCCCTGCACGCCCTGCAAGTGCAGAAAGCACAACAGCTGAAGCCAGGAGCTTTCGGCTGCTCCCTGGCCAGAAGCCCCGGGCTCGCAGGAGAAGCATCGACACAAGAAGCGGTAGCCAAACATCTGGCATCAGCCTTTGAATCCATCGAGCTGACGGTGCCATGTAGAGATCTTAATTCGTTACATAATTGTAGATACAACCGCTTTGCTGACAGCAATGAAAGGATTGCGTGCGCAAATGTACGTGCCCACATCCACATGTCCGGATTCCAAATGAAAGATACCCCACGGCTAGACAACACTATGCGAAGCACGAGAATGCAATGCTGTCTTCCTGCTTCTAGCTGCATCTGCACAGGCAATACCACCTAGGATTCGCCATGATTTTCACAGCCGCCCATGTGCCCTACAGCACTGCTGTCGCAAGAGTTAGTCAAAACCATTACGCTGGTCTTCATGAATCTGACATGTCCAGGTCTCATGTCTCCAGAAGCTGCAGGCCGCAGATCAGGCAACATCAACTTTTAGGCGCATTGCAAAGTATACTTTAGGATTTGCGAGGCTGGAAGAGAATTTTGCTCCAAGCCGGGCATTGCATCAATCCGAACTCTGGTCTTGTGAAACCTCGGCAGTGAAGGTCACGTAGACTTACTCTTCACTTCTCCGCAGTCCACGATGGTAACCTACATGCTGAACATGATGGATGATGTCTGGACATCTTGCGAAATATACTCCGCAAAGCGCATAGATACACAGACAAACCTCTGAACAACCCTGCACACGTGCAGCGTTACATGTCGCATGCAACCCAGGTGAATATCGAGAAGCAGAGGTAACGGCCCCTTCTACAATACCTCCACAAGTCATCCCTAAGCCACTGAGAAAATCCTACTGTGCGATGATGCTCATTGTCCAAAGTCGGGATCCCTGCCTTGTCCGACGGGGTCCCATTGCCCGAGCCTTCTGAAAAACACGTCAGCGTTAAACAGACATTCGTCCACTTGGATGTCTTTCCTGCAATCATGTTAAGTCTCGCACGTGGCAATCGTGCTAATACTGGGCTGGGCAGTAGCTGCTCTAAACTCACAAAGGTTGTTGTCGTCGCCACAGCAGTAGCAGCAGCAGCAGCGGCGGCGGCGGCGGCGGCGGCGGCGATGGCAAGAATCGTGATAGCGGTTCTAGGAATGATGGCAGTAGCAGTAGTCATCAAGAAGCCCTGCCACCTGTTGCCCCCATCTTGTTGACGATGTCCTCAACTCGCACAGCTTGGCAGGTCCACTCACTAATCAGCGACCAAAAGCACAATTTTGTGATGAGGACAAGACCATACCTTCGACTACTTGGCCAAAGATCACGTGCTTGCCATCCAGGTGAGTGCCTCCGGTGCTCGAGCTGCAGAAACTCTACTTAACTCTACTCTTCAGCAACGGTCTGGATGGTCTGGGAAGCCTTGCCCACTTCGTTGGCCGAACTCTGGGGGCGCGGCATGCTGCAAGGGTGATAAAGAATTGGGAGCCGTTGGTGTCCTGTGAGAGAGAGGAAGATGCTGCTGGAGGACTGTTATCTGTGAATGGGCCTTCCCTGCATTCGCCATGGAAAGCAGCCCAGCCTTGCTGTGCCTCAGCAGTTTGCAGTTTTGGGTATCTCTGAGGCCTTTGAGTTGGGATTGTCAAATCGAATAGCATACAGGAAATGAAAAGAAAAGCGGGTGATTGTTTTAAATACATAAAGTTTAGGGTCCACAGGAGAATGCAGGCGGCCGGCGTGACGTAGCCATTTGTCCACTCGTCCTCAAACTTCTCGCCGTAGATTGACCTGCAGTGGCTGCGTGCGGGCCTTCAGGTTTGGCGCGGCTGACCCAAGGTAGCCGGCTCGCCGCCGGTGCCATTCCCATTGGTGAAGTCCTCGGTAAATTGGACTTGAACTGTGTGCGCACAGGTCACTTGCAGATTGGCAACTGAGGTCCAAACACCTCCTTGGCACATGAAGCCTGGGATAATCCTGTGAAAGAAGCTGCCTGAAGGACCAGGGGCAAAAAGCACTAGAACCTGCGAAACCAGAGCTGCTTCTGCGTGAACGCTCAGGCACCTTTGAATGTCAGAGCCTTGCCAGACTTGCCCTTGCCCTGAGCATGCGTTTCAGAGTACTAGACACCAGTAGAAGCAAACGTCGCTCCTTCTCGCCGGTGCATAGAGCCCGAAAGTTCCTGAGCAGAGCACTGCAGGCAGCCCGACTTCCTCACAGATGCTGTTTGTGCCAAGATGCTCTGCAGTCTTTGGGTAGCTCTTAGCAAAAAGCTCCATTTCCACCTGAGCTTTGCCCGCTACTTGTCAGCTTCTCTCAATATTTCCAATGCCACATGGCTTTGGGGCGCCACCCGGGCTGGCTCGTTTTCGCCGATCTGAACGCTGAGAAACACCTAAACACCCCACGATTTAAAGTATTGTGGATTTGCAAGCAAGAGGTACCTTCGGGTTCTCCTCCGAAGAGGCATCAGAAAGGGAAAGTTCCTCACAAGAAACAACGAAAGAAGGGTTCGCACCAACCTCTCAAATTGAAAGCAGCCTTGAGGTCAGAAGGGCCACCCTTCTGAAAGTAGCCCTGCAGAAGCTGGAAGCCGAAGAGGCAAACCAATGCGATCCTTGTTTTATTCGAAGGTTTCAAGGAATGCCTGCTGCGGTAAACACTCACCTGGATCCTGAGAACCCTACGGCATTGGATTGGAAGAAGCTTGCTCCCACAACCATGCCAATCCTTCTGCGGGAGGGCTTACCTGCAGCTTTACTTCTTCGACTGTTCGAGGTGGTTGGATTTGCTGGAAGCTGGCCTCCAGCAATTCTAGTTCGAAGGTGATGGCAGTGTCTGGAGGGATTGTGCCTTGCATGTGGCGACCTAGCCACGTTTTGCTCATTTCAAGCTGGCAGGGCTCCAGCTTCCGGCACCACGCGAGCCGTAGCCAATCCTAGGATCTGCTCGGGAAATCCTCACTTAGAGGCCCCGAAACTTTGGAAGAGTCCATTCAAACGCATCTTGCATGCCGTGGAAGATGGATGTGTGACATTTGGCCTGGAAGCAGGAGTTGATATCTTAGAGCGCTGAAATGCAAAACTCGTCTTGCGCCATGCTGAAAGGGAATGGAGCTTAGAAGGTAGGCAGCAGCTGTGTAGCTTGCTCTGCAAACCTTGTTGAAAGAATGCATGCGGGGGTCCGGGTGCCCACGGAGCTGCCATCCATGAGTCAAGTCCAGCCAGGTCAGGCCCATGGAGCTTGAATTGCTGAACTTCAGACATCTGCACAACCACAGGATCTTGTCAAAAGGAACATGGAACTCAGTGGCTGACGGGCTTGGTATCCAAATCCTCCAAGTGTCTCCTGGCTTCATCCTGAGAGCTGCACAGGGGCCGCTCTTAAGCAAGCTAGGGGAGCCCCAATGCGATCTGCACAACTGAGCAACTGGCATGAGCAGCGCCTGGTGCAGAAAAGATGTGCTTGCAGGCACGCTTGCTGGACATGTGAGCTATAGTCTGAACTCCTTGTATCCCCCCTGATAACACTTAATTATAGTGGTCAGCAGTCCCTATATGATCCCCTATGTAACCCCTGCCAGCACCTCTTGGAAACCAGGCACGAGGTTGGCAGGCTTGAATGTCGCAGGAGATCCACGTTTGTGAGAACTGTCAAACCTCAGCAAGAGGAGATGAGGCCTCAGGGACAAGCTGTTGACAAGCCAACAACTATTATGATTCTTTCTTTCGTTATGATCAGTATTATGATTGAAGCATGATCATTCATATTATGATTATTAATGTTACGATGATTCCTGTCTAGGTGTCACACTCATCACCACTTAGCAGAGTGCCTCTGTAGTGGCACACCTGAGAGTGTGAACATCATTCCATCCAAAGTTGCTGCAGCTTGTCATATCTTTGAAAGAATCTTGGAGCATCCCTCACCCTGCTGCCGCATCCCATTTTGCTAAATATTTCGCTGCGCCTTCACATCGCAAGAGCCTACGGAGTGAAACAAGCCGCAGTCAGTCAGCCTTTCAGCAGAGGCATCTCAGACAAGATGTGCAGTTTGCCTGCGTTGTTGGCCCTGCCTTGGCTTTCTTCCCAACTTCTGCATCTTTGGAGCCAGCTTTTCGCTTACCTGCCACTGTTAGCACTAACTCAAAAACAACAAGTTTCCTAATTTGAAGAACGACGTCGAACTTTCTAGCGTGGGCCCGGCCAGGCCTTTTACTCCAAGTTTTGAAGCTGACTTGGGCGGCAGGCTCGGCGAAAATTTTGGCGACAGCTTCGGAGATAGCTTTGGTGATGGCTTTGGGGAGAGTCGTGGTGACTGCGAAGGCGCGCTCTTTGGCGACCTGAGCAAGGCAGCAAATTTCCTTTGACACCGGATTTGGCCCTCATTCCGGACTTCTCGCTCTCTGGCTGAAACGGCTTTACACGCTGAGCTGCGAAGGCTGCTTCGCACCACGCAGGCGCAGAGCGTGTTTTGGCAACATGGCCAGGAATCCCCCTTTGAAGTCGCGCTGAGGTCTGGGGACAACCTTGCTAGGGCCAGCCACTGGCAGAGAAATCCATCGCATGGCAGCAGAGAAATACAGCTCCACATTTCAATTGCCTTGCAGTATGCCATCCACGCTTTCACCAGATGCTTTTCCCACACCTGCACGTCCAAAGGATAGAACGTCTCTTGCAAGAAGAACGGACGACCTTCTTGTCTGGGATGCTTGGGGGATCAACCTGATCTGGAAGCCTCCGGGGCCAAGAAAGCTAAACAGTAACTTCCTGCTGCTCGCTAGAACTGACGTCAGCTGTTGGCTCTGATACGCATGAGGTCAACAAAGAGCGCCGCATGTGCTAGGCCTGATCACGAAGCTGCCATCCTTGTCAGCAATCAACCTTGGATGATGTCAGGCAACCTACAAGCACGTCTCATCCCGCTGTGAGATAGGAAGCCCACTGCCCAGAGCAGGACAAAGGACAACAAACGTCCCAAGATCTCAGTGTCTGACACAAACTTGTCCGGATGATCTTTTAAAAACCTTGGGAGCTGAGCTGGAAAACCAACGCCAAAAAAATCACTAAGTTGGGGCTTCTGCATAGGGCTTTGTTGCGCATCTCAAAGCTATTTTGCAACAACAATTCGACATTGCATCTGAGCGGCTGCTTGTACGAGCCCAGCGCAGGCTTGTATTTGTCCGACCAGTTCTCAGGCACAAACGGTGCGCCAGCTTTTTGGCTTCCGGCTATACGCACACCCTGCCTGAGATTCGAAGCTGGGCACTCACACTGCAGCTCATACCGCCAAGATGCAGAACGCCTTAAAGCACCTCCTGAAACTTAGAGATCCGCTGTATGGCTGCAATCGCTTCGTCGGCGAGTCTCGCTTTCTCGGCCTCATCTATGTCCTGCTACTGCAAGAGTTGCACGTTTCTGCGGTTCTGCCAAGCCCCAACACAAAAATGTTTTCTTGGAAGCTCGCAGCCTGGCTTGCGGTCGGTTGCTTCGCTGCTTTTGGCAGCTTCGCCACCTTCCTCACTGACATCATCACCAACTCCACGTCAATGAAATGCAACGGCTTTGCTTCAGAATCTCAAACATTGATGACATGCCGCGCAAGCAACCCTCCCGTCCTCAAAAGAAGTTGCTTACTTACTTGCAGTAGGGTTGCTTGAGTTGTGTCGCTAGCATGCTTTCTCTGTTAGGTTCGCCCCATCACTTACGAGTGACATCGCGTTGTGTTGGCAATGGGCATCCATATCACATGCACTCCTGGTAGCAATGAGGTAGCAATGCGCAGCGCAATGCCTTTTGGGCTAGGGCAGCATTTGTTGCATGTTCTTTGTCCACTGCTCTGCGACGAGGACACACAGCATGCACCGCAAAACCATGCAAGAAATCCCAACGAGCATCTTTTCATTCTTCACCTTCTCCTTGGCTTTAGCAGCCTCAGATGCTGAAAAGTTCCATCTTCATCCATCTGCTATACAATTTCAAATGCACATGGTAGGAACTGAGGCGCCTTTCCCATCGCACCGTTGGTCGCTCAAAGCGCAGAACGCATCCATGCTTCCTACTGCCTCTGCGCTTGAACCACAATCAATGGAAAAGAAAATGGAAACTACTATAATACATTGGGGTAATATTAGGGTTATAGTAGGGTTATATTGGGATAATGGAAAAGAAAATGGAAACTACTATAATAATGCACACCTGGAATTGCAGGGCAAACTGATAGCTGCAAGCATTCTTGGCCCAAAGCAACCTTTGATTGCGCTTCTGGGTGCGATCCATCTGCAGGACCGCTTTTCAACACCTGCTGCGTGCACTTTCGATGTTTACTTGAGCTTCCTTAAACGGCGCCTTTCTAGCAACAGAAAAAAATCTGACGACAATGCTATTCTACTCCTTCAATCCCAAATCGGCAGACCCCGGCCCAGAAAAGCACCACTCTTTCCAATTTTGTGTCCTTAACCCCTTTATATACCCTACGCGTCCCCTATGTATCCCCTATATATCCTGTATATAGCCCCTACAGAACCCCTATCCAACACATGGTCCTACGGACCACAGTTCTCAAGCATGGAGATTACAGGCGCAGGCCTGAAGGAATTCTGAGTTTTTGTTCTTCAACTTTCACCTGAACTTGACCTTTATTTTAAGTTTAGTCTTTAATGATGTGAAATTTCTAAGCACCTCTTCTTAAAATCGAACTGCGCTCATTTTGGTTACCATGAATTGGTGCCAGGAAAAAATCCAACTATTGATTCGGTTCCTTTTCATCGCATGCTAGTTACGCTGTAGGTGCTTGCTACTTCGGGACAAATCGATTTCATTAAATTGAAACATGATAAAAGTGGACTCCATCTGCTTTGGAATGACAATGAAAAAGTGATGTTTTTGTGTAACTACTTTTGCGCAATCTTTAATTGTATGCGGCTGTAGTCTACTTTTCTAACAGGAAAACTTAATGCTGCTGGAGATGCAGTGCTTGAAAACTCATTGCTATCTTATGTTGAATCAAAGCTCGCTTAAAGTTTGATTGATTTTGTCTGCTACCTAAAGCTACATGCGTTGAGAATAGCTGACTGGAAATTTCTGTTGCATTTTCATGGGATTTGATTGCCTGCACTTGAAAAGTTTGAGTCGTGTGAAGAGACCGATGAAGAAAGATTGAGCTTGTTTTCACCTGCTTTTGGGATTCCACTGCGAATGTATTTAACCAAATCTATTGTATCTTGAGTTGCTTGTTACTCGCCTTTGACTCATTCTAATTGTTTCCTTCAAGCTCTGCGTTGATAGAACTGAATTTCAAAAGTGTTCATGTCAACCTGTTTTCGAACAAGTGTTCATTCTGTTCACTTGAAACTTAGAATTGTAAAACAAGATTTTGTTTTTGCGTAACTTTGATTGATTCGAATGGAATTTACACTGTTTCTAATCAAATTCAAACACAAGCTGAATGCAAAATGCTTGAGTTGGAATATTCAGAAATTTCCCGACATCTCTTGAATCTTTCCTGCTGTCGAACCATCCGTCCCGCCAAACGTACCTAGACACATAAACATATAAACCTACTAACATAAACACATACATGCATACTTGCACACATACATGCTGACATCCATGCAAACAAACATATGCACATACGCATGCAGACACTGACGCATACATACTTACGTACATACACCTAGAGAGACACCCCTGGAGAGGAGGCTGCTTGCGGGTGGCGGTTCATAGCTCCCAACCCACGCTAGACGCGGTCTAACGTTTAGGAAAACTCTAGGCTCAAGCCCTGGAACTCACGAGGTAGGCCCTTCTTGCATATTTGCAACAATCTTTGTCAGGTCGCGCCCACCTCATATCGAACTTTTTCGCCCTTCCTGACCCCCCTCCACCCGGTCCCAGGCAAAATCTGGTCTCAACCCCCATTGACTTTGCCAGCAACAATCCTCATCTCAAACGAAGTCAACAGTTTTTCGGCGTCAGAGGCGCATGCCATTAGTAAACCAGAAGCCACGGCCCACCAAATGGAAATGCTTCGCACCTCATACTGCAAGCCCGAAGCGGTTTCTGTGACTTCGTCGCGCCTCAAACGTGGTTGAAAGTCAGGGAAGTAGTGACACAGTGACCACAAGCCACAACATGAATAGTGGGGGCGTTGCTGGCGGTTCTCCTTGAACATGTGCAAGCACTCCCCGTGGCAAGATGCAAGCTGCACTCTGGCTCCTCCAGGATCTGGTCATCCGTCTGGGTTTCGGTTTCGGTTGCTTCAATTACTTCCTCTTCAGCGCCAGCTCTTACTGCCTCAAGTTCAGGGCTGTGCCATGGAGATGCATCAAGCCTTGTAGCATAACCTTGCCCAGGTGCAAAGAGCAGCGCTATCAACAACCCGGCTCGAACAGCATGCACCTGAGACCAGCTGCACTGAAGCGAAACAGGCATGTTTGCATGCACATTGCAAAAATGCGTTTGGAAGCTCTGGAAGCCACTGCCATCACATCCAAAAATGCCGGAGATGTGCTAAAGCTTGAACCGCCGGTTCACAACACATGCAATGTAACAAAATTGACTTTGTGTGTGTCTTCAAGTTTTACCCCCGCAGAGTTGCAAATGATTTTTGGCGAATGAGTATAAGCAGGAATGCTATCATAACGGCGCTTTGCACCAGAGATCTACGTGTTGGAGAGCGCGATGTTCGCGCACGATTCCTGACGCCGCGACCATTTTACCAATGGCATGAGTTACGGTAAGACTGTGAGCAGGCGGCGGAGAGCACATCGGACATGTGGTGAAACCTGATACCTACGTACTAGAGGTCATGTGCCGAGTTCTGGGTGGATCATCTACTGGGCATTCAACGCGTCGGCCACCTCAGTGAAGATTGGGGGCATGGTCAGACAAGCTGTCCCATCTTCTGCTTCATTGTGCATCAATTCGCAACCAAGATGCCTCTGGGTCCAGATCGCCACACTGTTGCTGCAAGGCTCGAACTACGGATGGGCCACTCAATCCATCGACACCACGTATCCTTACTGGTGCAGAGATGCAAAGCGGCAGCTGTGCAGCACTCGAGGATAATGGTAAATGAAATGGAAACTACAATGATATTATATATGTATGTATACCCTATAATAATATAGTAGTTTCCATTTTCTTTTCCATTATCCCCATATATCCCCTATATGACACCTATATAAACCCTATATAATCCCTATATAGTCCCTATAATCCCTATAGTTTCCATTTTCTTTTCCATTAATTATCCCTAGAGCCTCCGGGGCTGATTTTCCACTGAGCTCTGGGCAGCGATGCCAGAAGCGACGCCATGGCAAACGTCACGTCTTGAGATTGAAACTCAGAGACGCAAAGCCAAAAGTCGTCTGCTTCAAACCTTGGGCGCCAGGAATACCTATGGCAACAACATAGCCCTCTAAGCACTGCTATTTTGGCAAGCTACGCAAGCATACGTACATTTTTGCCTTCAACTGCATTGATATACGGTGAGTTCCCATGGGGCCACGTCCGAAGACAAGCCAGGCCAGTTTTCTCGCAAGACTGCCCATTCCTTGCAGAAACGTGGCATCCCCCTCAATAGGCCCTGTTATACTCCGAAAAATGTGATCCCCTATATGAGCCCCTATATGAGCCCCTCAAAAGAGTTTAGACTATAGCTCACATCCCTGCAGACTTGAGACTCTACAAGGTCCTTCAAAAAGAACCTGGGAATCCTAACCTTGATGTACATATGCATATATATATATATCTATATTTATATGTATGTATAATTACTATATTTATGCAGTTTTGTTTTGCCCTTATTGGAATATCCCTGTATAGCTCAGCCTCCGGCTCATCTCCTTGCTCCAGAACCGATTTCACCTCAGAGCACTGGCAGAGGGCAGGTTCAGCACAAGAGGTTACTGAAAAATCCAAATCCAAGATGGAACGCTAACTACAACGGCTTTGCAGCGCGGCTTGAAATGTGGGGTCTTTATCAGTCTAAGTCCTCCCCTCATACATGACCAGCTGGTTACACACTCATCACTACCTCCTCTCCTGCCAAGACTGCTGTGAGCTCTGCCACGCACAGTATGAGATTGTCGTCGTCGCCGGCGCCGGCGTCGGCGTCTGCATCGTCTGCTGCTGCTGCTGCTGCTGCTGCTGCTGCTGCAACTACTACCAACTCCAGACCATCATCAACACCAACACCGACACCACCGCCACCAATGTCACGACTTCATCTCTTCCTGTTACTCCTCCTTCCCCCCCTACTAGCGCTACGATTCATTACCAATTCCTGCAAGTTCCTGCCTCCATATAAACGAGGAAGGAAGCACCAAAAAACACAAGGCCTATGGGGAGTCCAGCGCTTACAGCCTATTTCATTCTTAGGGGGCCTGGTTCCTGCGTTGATAACATGAAAGCTTTCCGAGCGGCGGCATCCAGCAAAACATACATGGCCTCACATATGTAATCTGGTTTTGCACAGCGCCACATGATATTGGAGGAGCCAGCCTTCGGAACCTCTGCGTCCAGAGTCCGAACTTGTTCAAGAAGCGACCGGTACCTTATCATAACTTCCGCAACACAGCTCCCCCACCAACTATTTGCATAGGACTCACCACTGATGTTGGTGGCTATCGTTGTACTCGTCCTGCAAGCTAGCCCATAGGCCAAATGGTGCTATGTCAATGGCCCAAGAAGCACGCCAAAGACGGCCTGGATTGGGCTTCCGGATGCCAATGTCTTCCTTGCCAGCAGACAAAATTTGCAGAAGCGCAAGCTCAAAGCTGCATAGGAGCTAGAATCCCCCTCAATAACCCCTGATAGTAGTCCCCTATATAATCCCCTATATAACCTCCTTCAGTGAGTTTAGATTAGACTATAGCTCACATGATCCCCTAGATAATCCCAGTCTCCATTTCATTTTCCAGTATCTTTTCCTTTTGATTCTCTATTGTTGGGGTATATAAAAAACTATATATATATAACCCCCTTTAAAGGAGTTTAGACCCTAAACCCTAATCCATAAACCCTAAACCAGATATAGTGGCTCAGTGGGTGCTGCCACCTCTTTGGAGCTTCGATAGACGCCATCCTAGACCTCTCTTGGCTTTCCAAAGTCTCCTGCCAGGATCTGCTCGGATCCCAGTAATAGTTATAGGTTTAGGGGTTTTTTTTTGTCGGACCTTTTCTCCGCCTGAAGATCCAAGCGGCGATGCTTTAAAGCACGGCCCAAAATCTCAAGGTTCCATAAAATCTCACACTGCCAATCCTCAAAGGCACCGCAAATGGAAGCAAATGTTCAAGGTGCAACGGCATCAGAGTTACACCTACAAGGCTACACCAGCCAGTGTTTCAAGTCCGTTTGTCTGGTTTAGGGTTTAGGGTTTAGGGATAGTAATAATAGTAGTAATAGTAGTAATAATCATGATATAATAGTAATCATGACAGTAAGAATAACAGTAATACTAATAACAACAGAAATATAGTAGGCTATACTGGGATAATGGAATATAAAATGGAAACTGCTATAATTACATAATATATTGGGGTTTCAACAGTAATAGAGTAATACATTAAATGGTAACAAAGTAGTATAGTAATAGTAGCACGTAGCGACGGCATGAGCGTGCCCGTTCTGCCTGCAGCCTTTCACGCGCTTGATCACGCATCGCCTGGCAGACTCCTTTAACCCTAAAAGTAGCTTCAATTTTCTTATCCATTATCCCTAAATAACCCCAATATATACTATAGTAGCTTCCATTTTCTTATCCATTATCCCTAAATAACCCCAATATATACTATGGTAGCTTCCATTTTCTTATCCATTATCCCAAAAATAACCCCAATATATACTATAGTAGCTTCCATTTTCTGATCCATTATCCCTATATAACCCCAATATACTGTAGTAGTTTCCATTTTATTTTCCATCATCCCAATATAATCCCAATATTACCACCATTCCTACAGGATGGCCTGGTAGTCTTTCAGAGCTATGCGGAGCCCAGCATATGGCGACCTCCAGCTTTGCTTCTGCAAGCCAAATTGCCAAATGCAATGAATCCTGAATTTCACCGATAGGTTTCGTGCACCCTAAACCCTAAACCCTAAACCCTCAGCTCAAATTCTCAAATCGAGGGGGGAAACAGCCAGCTGCCTCTTCTGTCGATCTGGCTCTCGAAGCTGAGCGAGGGCCTAGGAAAAGAAAAAGGAAACCCTAGGTCCCTTAAAAGGGATATATAGGCATTGAATAGGGGGATATAATATTGGGATGATATTGGGATAATGGAAAAGAAAATGGAAACTACTAAAGCTCATGTTGTTTGATGGTGGCTGACCGCACTAAGAATAGTCAGCGCTCAACAACAAAAATCACCGGACAAAGACAATCTGCTCATGCCCCCAAAAAGGAGGGCGATGCCTTGTGTTGAACAGCACGAGCTCGCGCACGAGCCTGGCTTGGAAATGCTTGGTTGGAACACTTTGCTTGTAATAGTAGTAATACTAAAAGAATGATACAGTAACATAGTATCATCTTAATATAGTGATATAGTGAAATAGCGATATAGTAACACAGAGATAGCAAAGTAGTAGTAGTAGTAGTAGTAGCAGTAGTAGTAGTGGTAGTAGTAGTGGTAGGAGTGATCGATTGTTCCAGCAACTTGGCAGGGCACAGCTACCAACTTCCCGGACTCGATGGCCAGCCGCTGCGCCATTTGCTGCTCGAGATGCCGTTCCATAGCCTGGAGTGCTGGATGGTATCTGTTATAGCCTGTCATTTTATATTGTGGTATCTATTATTCTTCTTTTATAGTATATTATGGTATACATTATAATATGTTAATGCATGGTATAGTTCCATAGCCTGCCGTGCTGATACATAGTAGGGGTTCCAATGTAAGGGATGATGGAAAAGAAAATGGAAACTACTATACTATTGTAGGGTATACATATATACATAGTGTCATTGTAGTTGCCATTTCATTTACCATTATCCCAAGTTAACCCCAATATTACCCCAATGGGTACCTATATCCCCTAAAAGCTTGCAGAATGATAGCTTGTGCCTTGATTTCATCATTGACATCAACACCGGCGCGACGCTTGTCAAGTGCCTTACACGCATCATCAGGCTTCGTTCTTTCTACAAGTATGCTTCTACACTCCCTTCGAGGTCTGCAACTCGTCGTTTTACACACTGAAGCAATGCAGCTCCAAAGCGATTGCAGTAGCAAACGTCTCATCATAGCGACCAGGTCAAGAAAAACAAGCTCGTAAGCTACTGAGATTGCCAAAAACTTCCTGGTTCAAAACTAGTTTTGATCGCTCCTGGCGCTGCCTCTCGGGCAATTTCTGCCCAAATCATTTACAGGCAGGCATCACAGTGCCCAGGTCAAGCCTTCCAGAGATAATACTGAAGTACACTGAACTTGACACACGGGCACTGGCATAAACGGGCCTTCTTCTTCTTGCCCTTGACCTCAAACCCACCGTAGATTTCCTGCATGAAAGCGTGATGAGCAAGGGATGGCTGTCACAGGCAATCCAAATGCCTTGATGCTCTCTGGTGGGATGCCTTTGCTGATCAACCAACACTCAGCTGCTCGATGGAGCAGGCATGAGCAGACCCAACTTGTACTTCTACTCTACGCCACGTAAGACCTTTAGCAAGGAAGCAAACCTCTCGTTGCAGCGATGTGACGAATAACTTCTGTGGAGTGCTGGATGTTTCGGTACAAGTCGAAGGCAACAACCTTTCTTTTTTCATGTTCCACTCCAAATGGAAGTGCGTCAGCTACATTGCTTCGCACCGCTGTTGCCCGGCTCCGATAGGGTTGGCACAGCACAGTTTGCCATCTTCGTGGTCTTGGCAACGTGCGTTGAGGACTTGGGCATAAAGCCTGGTAGGGGAAGCAAGCAGCATGTCGAAAGGAGGCATTTCAAGATCTTCCACTTTGCAGGAGGGCAACTTTTGAAGAATTCGCGGAACCACAGCGAATGACCGGCGACCTTAAGCATGCTGAGGCTGACCATGCAACCAGCTAAGCACAAATGCGGCTCAACAGGCTGGAGCTTGGCCCCAGCTTGCTGAGGGCTCAAGCATACTTAAGCTAGCCATACGGCAAAAAGTGCCCCGCTTACAGGACTGCTGCCATGGCCAGCGTGAATCTTACCTCTCTCTTGGTTTCTGGTGAAACAACGGGGGGGGATATGGCCCACCAACGTCCTGTCCAACACAAGCCCAAATTCTTCGCAACAATAGGCAAGCTGCAATGATGCAGTCCACATCCTTCTGTTCGAACACCCACTTCACAAACTGTTTTTGACGCTTGTCTGCCTGTCCAGGCTAGCACTGTGAACAGCTCTGCTGCATGACATGTTTGCAATAGTGCAGCCTTCATGGACAAGGTCTTGTTGCCCAGGTTGTGGCGATGATCGAGTCGTGTTTTGTACCAATGGGACCTTGTACTCTCTGTATTTTGCTTTGCCACAAACTAAGGCATACTAACGCAAACAGCAGAAGTGCAGCCAATGTGCATAAGATCACCCATGTTCTTCATCTTGGCCTGACCACGCCAAGAGTGCTGCTGCTAGTAGCAAAGTCTGGCTGATGCAAGAGCGGAATGAAGCCAGGATTTGTGGTTAAGCACCGTCAGCACTAGCCTCATCCGGGGGACACTTCGGAATTGACCGAGCCGGTGTGACCGACAGCGTGTCAACATTTCTACCTCAAATTTACTCGGGCAGAAGGCAAACTACATGCCGAGTCATGCGGAGCAAGGAATTGCTCCCTGTGCTAGCTGCTTCGGTCTGAGGAAAAGGCTGATTTCCTGCCGCAGGTGGGAGACTGATTATGCAAGAAGGAAACATGGGCAGTGCTTCAACGAGTCACAAAGAACAACAAGAACCTGCAGAGAAGTCATCAAGTGAACGCGGTCTTTTGCGAATGTCCTGGGCATGCGACTTTTGCAGCAACTGAACATGTATAGTACTGCAAAAGCATCAGCAAACATCTCTCCATATCAGGAGAGGTGCGTTTTAAGTAATCGCGGACTCAAAGCTAGCAGGATGGTGGACACTGCCCTCCGCAATATGGAGGACACCTCACTCGGCACCAGTCGAGACAAACAATGATTCTGCTTGCGTGCTTCAATGTCTGGCCTAGCAAGAGTGAGGCCAATTCAAATCCAGGTTGCTACAATGCTTTCACCCGCATCGCCGCGGATCATGGAAACCTTTTGCCAAATTGCGAAACCAACGAAGACACTGCATCTGAAGATGCCAACTCTTTCTAGCGATGACAAGAAAAGGATCACATCCAACAACATCTTTCCTATAACCCCCAATATTCTATAATACCCATATAACCCCTATATAACTCTATAATATTATAGTAGTTTCCATTTTCTTTTCCGTTTTCCCTATATAACCCCAATATGCTATAATACCATATTTTATGCAAGCCATCTCTTCGAAACCCTGGGCAGACGGAAAGGCCCTGACAATATCCTCCACCTGGAGCTGCTCCGCAGGCTTCTGGCAAGCTCCAGGATCTCGGCAACCTGCGGAAAACGTTTTGGGTTTGAGTTTTGCGGCTTCTGGAAAAGGAGATGCAAAAATCGGATCAAAATTAGCTAGCGAAGACGTTGACCCTAGCTGCCGCCCCTAGCCGTTAGGCTAATGAAACTTCTGCGAGAACCAGCTGTTATAGGTGTGCAGTATCTGGTGAATCAAATTCGCCAAACTGCAACAATAGCCGCAGCATCAAAGGAAGTCAAATTATGACAAGGCCTTGGTTGCAGGAGACAAGATTGCAAAATGACCGCTCTTGAGGCGTAAGGCAAGCATTGGGAATGCGCGTCAATGCGCTAAGACTCGAGGTTGAGACAACCTCCAACACACCCCTTCCAGAGAAATCCAGAAAAGAGACGTTTGCCACATGTAACAACATTCCGAAATCTTTAGAGGCTGAGTTGAGGATGCAACACGCCACCTGCCGGCTGTGAGGTCAGAAACGCCAACAAATCCCAGCCTGCAATGAAAAGCATCAGGAAGTAGAGCTATAACAGGGTTGTCTTTCAGACGATAGGCCTACGAAAGATGCATCACAGGCCTTGCTGGATGCCCTTGTCATTCAACGGTGAATCATAGAAAATGGAATCTCTTTGGAATGTCATCGTGGCCTGCTGCACGGCAATTGGACTTCAACTACCTAGTCCGCCATCATGACATCATCTGGCCTCCCTTATCAAAGCTCGAACAAGTCGGAAAGGCAAGAATATCTTCCATCCCTGCCACAGAACAGGAGAGAACTGGCGGTAAGCTGACAAAGTTTCTGCCTGGTTAAACACGGAATTCCACTGTGACTCGCCATGACGGATGAACACGATCCTGGCAGCAGGTGAGAGCAATGCTTGCCACCCACCTGCATGATTCCATATGATAAGCGCTTCTGCCCATGCCAAACATATATCTTGGAAGTCCCAGGCACTTACAGAGCAGCTCCCAAAAGCGCCCCAAACAAACACCTAAATCATTCGAGACAGGTTTCTTCATGCGCTTGCAGTTCGGCGAAGACGTGTCCAGCTTCATGTCGGTTGGTTTGCACGGCCTGTCCAGGCAACGCACTCCTTCAAGTTTCACGAAGCGGCACCGCACACGGATAAACGAGGGGAAAGCAAAGCTTCAGGACAGATATTTCATCTCAGCCCCGAGCTTCTTGTCACCTCATTGCAGAAGAGACGCACCGCAGTTGTCAAGGGTGTTTGTTTGTCAACTTCACCAAGGCCGATTGGAAGACATGGTTGCATCAAGGTGGCGTGCCAAGAAGAAGTAGAAGAAACCCCATACTTGCAGCTTTGCCTTCAAAAACTCACATACCCAGTCTTTCCAGAGAAACCGTCGCATAAGGGCAGGCCTTAGGAACGATGACCAGCGCCAAGAGCGCCTGACGTTCCAGGCACCAACAGCTTTACATGCCAGCTCTTAACCTGAGCTCTCAGATCTCGGGCTGTTGCCAAGCCCGCCAGCATCAGAAACAGCCACAGCATGGTTTCCTTTCAGTTTGCAAGAAGTCCCGCAGGAAGCGCAAAGCAGGGCTGCTTGAACAAGTCTCTGCAGACATCTTCCGCTGGCCCAGAGCTGCGTGTGAGACATCCTGCACGATGCCGACCTGGCAATAATCGGCACATTCTGTCTCGCATGTTCTTCTGACTCTCAATTTCCCAGAAAACAGGCCTCTGCAATGTACTCCAGGGGGTGTTGGATGGCGGGGATCGCTGCCAACCTGACCACATAGTCCTGGAGCTGAGCCTGGTCACAGGACGCCAGGCTCTCGGGGAGACGAAGCTGCTGTTGCTGCTGCCTGTGCAAGAATCATCCTCGAACCAAATGGCTCCAAAAAGCTGGCCACTTTGCTATCCACCCCAATAGCTTGGGCAGGGCTGCGGGCAGATGCTGCTGCCTGCGCAGCCTCCATGCCTTCACAAACACCAAAACACATGTGGTGAGGTCCTTCTTGGCTATTGAGGGCCTGCCTCGCCCACGCTGAGGCAGAGACTGACTACAGTGACAACAGCATCCCTGTGAGCCAAGGGCAGCAGGAAGATTCAGGAAGTCAATCGTGACAAGCACGCCATCTGGCGATCATTGCGGAAGATGAGCCCGTGTCCTGCAGACTACATCCCGTCACCTTCTGAGACCGAGACGTCTTGGGCTGGACTTGTGGGTCCTCTTCACTTCAAGCAGAAAATCTTGAAGCAACCCGTCTCCCACAACCCAAAAAGAAGCATGCTGCAACCCGCCTGTGGTGGCTGACATACCCGTTGCGTCCACAGGGTTACTGGATGCCTGCCAGGAGACGCACATATACCCTTTGGATCATGATTGCAAGTCCTTCCCAGACAATCTTCCGTCTAGGATTCGGACACGTTCCATCTCCCCTGCGCCGGGAGGCCCCTTCTGATCCTCGTTGACACCCCTGGCAGCAGGAATGCTGTTTGCGCAACTCTGCCGGCACCCAGCAACCATTCTATCAAGAAGCAAATCTTTGAGGAAGCGTTCGATAGTTGCCAACTTGTAGTCATCGCCGTGGTCTGAGCTCGCTTCGATACGCATATTCTGCTTGCGTCTGCTTCATGTTTACTGTTTTGCAAGAAAGGTGCAACGCTGCCGCATTTCCTCAGCATCCCGTTGAGCAACAAACGGATTGCACCTGGCAAGTTCACGCTAATGATAAATGCAGGACTTGGTCTCACAGGTGTGCAATGCATCAGCCTCTGGTAGAAAGCCTTGTCAGTCCATGCAGCACCAAGGTCCTGCTTGAAGGTCTACGGGATTTAGCAACTTCTTATAACTGGGTCTGGAGTCTACATGTAATTAGCTGCTAAGAGGAGACACAAGTAGAGACAGACGTTTTTGCTTCGTAAACTGCGCAGCGTGATTTTTGCACAGATCCCATCCTTCTCGAGCTGCTTTCTACGTTGCATCCAGCGACCTCCAGTTGCGCATGAGAATGCCAGCATCTCAGCTTAGAGAGAGGGCAGGTTGGCACCTTTGCCCGCACCAGCTTTTCCCTGCAAAAGGCAAGCCAAACACCCAAATTGGTAAACAACAGCAAAGATGACAACGGCGACCCCAACAACAAGGGAGAAGAAGCCCATAGAAGCAAACAACGGACAGCACGACAACTAGGAAAACCACCGTCACCACGGCAAAGAGTACTGCTCCTAATGTTGCGGCTGTCGTTGTTGGTTGCCAATTGTGGTGACGCCTCTTTAGGTGCTTGTTAGTTCTTGATAGTTCTTGTCTCTGCGCTGATGGCGGCAGCAGCACCGGCAGCAGCAGCAGCACCAGCGTTGGCGGCTGCAGCGGCGCGGAAGCAGCGTCTGCGGCTGCGGTGGCAACGGTGGCGGCGTTGACGGCGGCTGCAGCGTCGGTGCGCAGCGGTGGTGGCTGCAAGCGGTCTCATGCTGGTGCACCACCGCCAAAAACAGAAGCAGATACAAGCAGCAGAGCCACAGCAACACCACAGAACCTCGAGAAAAGTATCACCATGAAGAATGAAGACAAGGAAGGCAACTACAACATCAAGCAGTGCTACAACACCAGTCCGCAAACCTCATCGAGTAGGCTGCCGTAATTGGGCCTTGTGCCTGGACAGCGTGAGGGTGACTCTGTGCATGTACTCTGGCATGACGGTCTCAAGCAACCATTTGGTTCACCAGCCTTTTGGTAGAGGGAGAAGTTCAGAAACTATCTTTTGAATCAGCTCCTTGTGCCTGTGCACACAAGATGTTCAACCGGCACAACGCGGAACATCCACATGAAATGAGCGTTTGACACCTCACCACGTCTGCACGTTCTGACCTCTCCATACCAGCAGTTGATGTGACCTTCTGCGCACATGACCAACTGCATTCAACATGCCATTGCTAAAAAGAAAGCTGAACTCTAGGGGTCTGGCACCATTCGATGCCTTACATCTTGCAGCCAACACCACGGCCGGTGTAACAGATGCGCAAGGTTCAAAGGTTCTGAGGTATACACCAAGTACTCTGACAGGGATGGCAACCAGTTCATCGTCCGCTTGGGACTGACCTTGCAACACAAGCAGCTCAAATGGCTTTGCATTTGTGCCTGCTTCGAGCCTTCGGTAGCTGGACTTGTCTTGACGGCCTTCTGGCTGACAAGGGCTGCTGTGGCTGCTGCTCCAACCTGACCTGTGCGCTTCTTTGGGTAACTGCTGGGCACACCATGCCAGATGCAAGCGTACTTGACGCTGGTGGTCACGTGCACTCTGGGGAAGCTCTATGGACCTTGGATTTCAGGCCTCTGCAGCTGGAGCGGAACTGCAGGTATTGCTGAGCTTCGTTCGTCAGAAACGCACCTCCGTTTTCTTCCAACGGAACAGCCTTCAAATATTGACGCATGATGACACCAGCGGAACATCATGAAAACGCCCACAGCTCAGCTGCAAGCTGGTCCCAACTGCCTGAAGCAACACACGCTGCAAATGCAAAATCAAGCTGCTGGGGACGTGCACTGTAAGCACAAACAAAGGATTGCCTTGAGGTCACGGGCACCAATTGCATGGTCTCCTTCTTGGCCTGGAGGAATGGGCCATATTTTAGCATGGATCAATATACTTAGTTTGCGCTCAGGAGTATTCATGCAATGCCTCGTAGGCAGCATCCGCATCAGCTTTCACCTGAGTGCTCGCAAGCTTAAAAGGTTCAAGTAAGCCGGGAGAGATGCAAACAACTGGCCTGCTCGACCCTCCGGAATGAACCCTTGATGTGTAGCTTCCTTGTCCACATGCATAGGACGAACACTTTCCGCAACAAATGCAACAGAAACGAGAGGCGTACAACTCTTTGAAGCCATCCTTCTCCTGGCGACGACTGCCAACAACAAGAAACAATGCAAACAATTTGCATCTGCAGGAAAATCAAAAAGACCAGCACGGTCCACGGGATCAGCCCAACCCCAAAACAACCCAAGTCCTTGTGCTGCAGCACAGCCCTCATTCGCATCAACTGGCGTGACACAACCACCTTTGCCTTCATTGTGGACCCTTGCTCCTGTTAGTCTTGCTTTCCCAAGCCCTGTAGGCCAACCTGGCTGAAGCCCATGTCCAAAGCCCTCTACACCAACATTGTCTTGATGCTTTGCTGGCGGACTTCTGGCGCCGCCAGCAGAACATCATGAGAAGCTTCAATTGAAATTCTTGTCCCCCCCCCCCCCGAGCTCCAACTTGGTTTTGGGCTTCT